AGCGACCCAGGCGAATATGGCAGAGGATTATGAAAGTGGTCATAAATTGGATGGCATTAGGAGGAAGTTGGTGTAGAGGAAGCCCGAACCACTCACAAATATAGAGCAGCTCGGGGCTCAAAGGGAAGTGGAGTCCAAGCTTGAATCGGATCTCGAACAAGGTATATCAGTTTCTTGGCGGATGGTCATATTTGTCGGAGGAAGAGGGGACATAGAAGGCCCAGCCGCAAGGTTGGCCGATTTTTTCGGGATTTAGCCAGATGCTCGAGAAGGAAGTAGAAGATTGGCGCTTTGTGGAGGCTTAAGAAAGGTTCTGGGTCGAGGACTTTTCGGAAGGAGAATTCGAAGTACCAGGTTGAGAGGAAAAAGGAGGAATGGTCGAGGATGTAGGGAAGGCAGGTTGAGAAGAGGTGATCTCATCCTCCTTTGGCTCATCTATGAGCCAAGAGCAGGTCGACAGTGGCGGAGTGGAATGTTATCCATGGTATCTTCGGAGTTAAGAGGAGAAATGCGGGTTGTGAAAACGATGGTGGGAACAGTATCACCGGGGCGGAGTATAGAGAGAGGAACATCTTCAAGTAGCAGAATCTGAAATAAGAAAAAGAACAATATCAATAAGAAGAATTCTAACGAAAAGGAAAGGGGGAAGAGCAGAAGGTTTTCAAAGCTAGGGCTCTGCGAAGAGGTGATTTTGGAGAAATTAAAGAAGGAGGACAAGGATTTCGGGAGATTTTCGAAGAAAAAGGCAAAATTCACATTGATTAACAAGCAAATACAGGCATCCAACACAAAAATTCAAAATACTCAATCAGCAAACTTCAGATACCCAATTCAAGAAATTCAAAATGCAAAATCTTGGATACAAGAAATGTAAAGTCAGGCTAGGAGCAACTTACTCATAATCGCAGATGAGGGAATTGGAAAAGCTCGAGTATCGCAGGAGGAATCGCCGAAAAAATTAGGGTTTTTGCAGAAAGAATTCAGAGCACATGAGAGTTTGAAATTGCAGAAGGTGGAAAAATATTGGAAAATTCGCTAAGTGTTGAATTTATACCTTGGAGAGTTGAAGGGTTAAAAAATAAGGACCGTTGGATTAAAGCCAGATCTTACGGTGGGGAGCATTAACTCACACGGCACTCAAGGTGGGCGCGTTATGCGAGGAGAATGATTAAAGTATCTGACAGATGCGACGCGTGGCAGAAAAGTAAGCACTGCAGAAGGGACATGTGACGGGCGACTTTATTTCTAGCAATTAATGAGGAATTATTTGAAAAAGTAAGCGGAAAACTCATCAGATGGTCGATACCGACTGAAATACAATCCTGAAGAGCGGTAAGCAAGAATTCACTCTTAGATCGAGTCACCCAGACTCGACCAGAGTGGGGGGGGACTAGATGATATAGGATGTTATACCCACAAGACTAAATCGGTCTGCTGACCGGTCGAGGAGGTCATACCGCAAGGAAGTCGAGCCAAAATCGACCAGTCAACCAGTCGACCAGCTAAGCAGTCAACTAATCGACCAGCTAAGTAGTCGACCAATCTATCCTTTGACCAGATGAACGGTCGAGTAGTTCAGTCGACCTCGATTGGTCCACCGCTTCGCGGACTTAACACCTCATAGATCGGCCTAGTCACAGGCACGTGAAAGGGCCTCTAACAGAATTTCAGAAGAATATTCATCCCATGTGCATGAGGACACGTGTCGAGAACTTATTGGTTGATAGCGACAACCACCTCTGACAGCTCCCAATGCCTCGCACCACCTCTGACATGTGCGCTGTGTGTCAGAGTACGGACGGGCAGCTTGGGCAGCCAATCATCAAATCCGGGCAGCCTTAGGTCAGGTATTTCACTCATATATAAAGGGGGTGAGCCTTTCTTCCTTAAGACGACTTTTTTCATTACTCAATTCCAGTATACTCATACACATACTGACTTAAGCATTGGAGGCTCTTCACCGGACATAACCACCGGTGTGAGAGTTGTTTGCAGGTTTCTGACGTCCTACCGGCGAGAAAAAGAATCGATCTACCTCAAACCGGGTCAGGCGCTCACACTTGCATTAGCGTCAATGTTAAGATTTTATGTACAACCTGTCGGTTCCTCAACACCATGACTTCGTCCTCCACCTCGAGTCCAGTCATTACTACAACCACGACTGCGACCGCGGCCATGACCACGACCACCACGGGGTGGCTGGGTATGATATCCTCGACCTCTCCCTCGCACATTATGATGCCCGTGAGTAGTCGCATGTGCTTCAGGCACAACTTGAGTTCCAACCGGCCTAGCATTATGATTTCTCATCAACAATTGATTGTGTTTTTCAGCCACAAGCAAGGCAGATATCAGCTCAGAGTGAGTTGCATAGTTTTTGGCCCTATACTACTGCTGAAGTACAAGGTTACTAGCATGAAAAGTTGACAAAGTTTTCTCAAGCAACTCGACCTCAGTAATGTTATGCTTACAGAGTTTCAGTTGTGAAACAATGCGATGGAGGGCCGAATTATACTCAGTGACCGATTTAAAATCCTAAAACCGAATATTAAGCCAGTCATATTGAGCTTGAAGGAGAATTATGGCCGTTTGTTGGTCAAAGCGATCCTTTAGGGATTTCCAAAGATTGGCAGACTCTTTTTCAGTGAGATATTCATTTTTTAAATCTGTATTGAGATGGTGACGAAGAAAAATCAATGTCCTCGCCTTCTGGGCGGGAGTGCTTTGAGATGTAGAATCAGTTGTGGCACTTAAGTCGAACGAGGCCAGGTGAATCTCAACATCAAGAGCCCAAGTCAAATAATTACTCCCATCAAGGGCGAGCTCAGCAAATTCTCTTTTGGTGATAGCATACATTTACAATTTATTCAATACAAACTTAATATGATTATTGAAGGATATTTTGAATGATAACTTTAAAAGATAAAATAAATCCATGAAACTGTGCATTTGGATGTTTAATCTGTCAAACATGCTGCTATTATAATTGTATCAAGTAATAGTGTAACAGTTAAAAATGTTGTAATTTTACATAGAGCATGTTTTTAATAAACAGAAGCTATGTAAAGAGAATTTATCAACTACAATGCTATTTGCAATTAAAATATCCACAAAGCATATAAGGAGATAGTAACAGTCATCAAATAATAATCGTCATAGAAATAAATAAACAAACTTGAACCAGTATAAGCCTGTTACAAAATTACACATCAAAGCTATGGAGCTGGTTCAGTTTGACATTCGAGAAAAAAATATACCAGCCATCCCCTTAAATTTAGTATACATGCTGAAGAATCAAGTAATAAAATGGCTATCAAAATACATGTCTAACCAAATTTGTTGAATCTCACAATGAACCATTATATCAGATCATGATGGCAGGCCGAAATAATTCAAAATTTAACCCCCTCTAATGGATTGATTTCTATTGATTCTTCAAATAAATCAATTCACAAACATATACCAACCACCTTGCAGGATCAAATATGCACAGCAAATAATTCATGACCGAGTTAAAAAACAACCAATTAAATAACATGACTAACAGAAAAATTGATATCTCACATAAGCATCATGATCCACTAACCCATAATTAAACAAATCCAACGAATATACTTCGCACAATATTGCGACAATATCAATCCAAAACCGAATTACCTACAGTATACGGACGAATAATTCATTCTGATGACATTGAATTTAGTACAAATTAAGAAAATAAATGGATCTCCATAATACCTTGGAGGAAAAACACAATTTTGTCCTAGGGCAACACCAATAACGAACTAAAGCGTGCTGATAACGTGTTGTAAATTGGAACTCTTAATCTTCAACAAGCATCCATCAATCCAAGCATAAGATGTGCAGTAAAGAGAATGATAAAATAGAAGCAGAAAAGTCTCATTTTATTCATCGGTATTTCACCTTTTTATAGGATTTACAAGAGAGAAACTTTAAAAGCTAATTTCTTAACAATGGACTTCAGGCCTAATTATTATATTTATAACAACAACAAACAAAATGTAGATCCAATTTCCTAACAATGGCTTCAGGCCCAATTATATATTAATAATGTCCATATTAATATATGAGAAAATTACTCCATGTACCACCAAAATCATTTTTATTTGCACATATACCAACCTTATCTTTTTATTTATACTTATACCGATCTAATTTTCATTTGTAATCGTACCAGCATATTTCATCTCTTCCTCTATCTTTTTGTTTTCATCGTATCAACATTTGCATCTCTTCCTCAATCTTTTTTTTTCCCTATAAATTCTTCATTTATTCTCCTTCAAGTTTCTCCCATATTTTCACTGCTACCCAAATCAAAGGTCGGCCATACACAACAAGTTCTCCCCTTCACGCCCTGCACTGAATTTGGTGGCGGCTGACCTCAATTGTGGGTGATATCGATCGAAGGATCTCGTACTCGTGTAGGCTCGCGACAGCCCATCGCTTGTGGCTCTTGCGCTGGCGACGACTCATCTCACAACGATGAGACCTCGAATTGATTGCTTACCCTACGGTGGAGGTGGGGTCTCGCCGATTGATATAATTCCCTAATTGAGTTCTGAAGGGGAGCGTCTCGTTTGAAGGATAAGATCCGACCAACGCTGTTAGGTTTTTTTTTTTTTTTGCCTTTTGCTTGCAACCTCCCAACGCTCTTCTTTGGCTGATTTTGTTTTCTCTTTGGGCCATTTTCTTTGATGTATATAATAATTAATACATATATCTTTAGTATATTTGCGGTTATATAATGATTAGATTGATTTATCTTCTGAAATAAATCTCAACAATTCGATACAGTAAAAGATTCAATAGATGAAAAATATCCGATGTAAACAAGTATATACTGGTATATATGCACGTTATGAAACCGTCACGTTAAATAGTATATGTCAAATATATATCCCGACGTTAAATAGTATATGTCAAATATATATCCCGTTATAATACTTGTACATTATACAAAATTCATACTTTATGTTCAAATGAATGTTCGACAACAATATCAGACGTCAAGTAGGGATGAAAGTGGGAACAGGAAAATCCCGTACCGACCGATGCCGTATCCCGAATATACCGATCGTATTCCGTTTTGGCAGCAAAAAAAGGAAACGGGAACAGGAAAAAAAATGGGAACAGGAACGGGAACGAATTCGGGAAGGGGTGTTTCCCGACCGTATTCGCGGATCCCGTATTTGGGCAGGAAAATTCCCGCGGTATTCCCGTATATTACAGTGGCCCAAACAAACTAGAAAATACCTAATACTGTAATACATAACTAATGGGGCTTTTACTATTAATTGGCCCAAAACATAAAAACCCAACTTACTAAATAATATAAGTCCAACTCAAACACATGCTTAAGCCTACTAACATAGTTAAAATCGATCTAAGTACCCAATTGAACGGATTCTTCAATCTTCCTCGCAGACCCTAACTTCTTTTCCCCAAAATATGTTG